GAGGGAAGGGAAGGAAGTGGCATGGGAGGGAAGGGAAGGAAGTGGCATGGGAGGGAAGGGAAGGAAGTGGCATGGGAGGGAAGGGAAGGAAGTGGCATGGGAGGGAAGGGAAGGAAGTGGCATGGGAGGGAAGGGAAGGAAGTGGCATGGGAGGGAAGGGAAGGAAGTGGCATGGGAGGGAAGGGAAGGAAGTGGCATGGGAGGGAAGGGAAGGAAGTGGCATGGGAGGGAAGGGAAGGAAGTGGCATGGGAGGGAAGGGAAGGAAGTGGCATGGGAGGGAAGGGAAGGAAGTGGCATGGGAGGGAAGGGAAGGAAGTGGCATGGGAGGGAAGGGAAGGAAGTGGCATGGGAGGGAAGGGAAGGAAGTGGCATGGGAGGGAAGGGAAGGAAGTGGCATGGGAGGGAAGGGAAGGAAGTGGCATGGGAGGGAAGGGAAGGAAGTGGCATGGGAGGGAAGGGAAGGAAGTGGCATGGGAGGGAAGGGAAGGAAGTGGCATGGGAGGGAAGGGAAGGAAGTGGCATGGGAGGGAAGGGAAGGAAGTGGCATGGGAGGGAAGGGAAGGAAGTGGCATGGGAGGGAAGGGAAGGAAGTGGCATGGGAGGGAAGGGAAGGAAGTGGCATGGGAGGGAAGGGAAGGAAGTGGCATGGGAGGGAAGGGAAGGAAGTGGCATGGGAGGGAAGGGAAGGAAGTGGCATGGGAGGGAAGGGAAGGAAGTGGCATGGGAGGGAAGGGAAGGAAGTGGCATGGGAGGGAAGGGAAGGAAGTGGCATGGGAGGGAAGGGAAGGAAGTGGCATGGGAGGGAAGGGAAGGAAGTGGCATGGGAGGGAAGGGAAGGAAGTGGCATGGGAGGGAAGGGAAGGAAGTGGCATGGGAGGGAAGGGAAGGAAGTGGCATGGGAGGGAAGGGAAGGAAGTGGCATGGGAGGGAAGGGAAGGAAGTGGCATGGGAGGGAAGGGAAGGAAGTGGCATGGGAGGGAAGGGAAGGAAGTGGCATGGGAGGGAAGGGAAGGAAGTGGCATGGGAGGGAAGGGAAGGAAGTGGCATGGGAGGGAAGGGAAGGAAGTGGCATGGGAGGGAAGGGAAGGAAGTGGCATGGGAGGGAAGGGAAGGAAGTGGCATGGGAGGGAAGGGAAGGAAGTGGCATGGGAGGGAAGGGAAGGAAGTGGCATGGGAGGGAAGGGAAGGAAGTGGCATGGGAGGGAAGGGAAGGAAGTGGCATGGGAGGGAAGGGAAGGAAGTGGCATGGGAGGGAAGGGAAGGAAGTGGCATGGGAGGGAAGGGAAGGAAGTGGCATGGGAGGGAAGGGAAGGAAGTGGCATGGGAGGGAAGGGAAGGAAGTGGCATGGGAGGGAAGGGAAGGAAGTGGCATGGGAGGGAAGGGAAGGAAGTGGCATGGGAGGGAAGGGAAGGAAGTGGCATGGGAGGGAAGGGAAGGAAGTGGCATGGGAGGGAAGGGAAGGAAGTGGCATGGGAGGGAAGGGAAGGAAGTGGCATGGGAGGGAAGGGAAGGAAGTGGCATGGGAGGGAAGGGAAGGAAGTGGCATGGGAGGGAAGGGAAGGAAGTGGCATGGGAGGGAAGGGAAGGAAGTGGCATGGGAGGGAAGGGAAGGAAGTGGCATGGGAGGGAAGGGAAGGAAGTGGCATGGGAGGGAAGGGAAGGAAGTGGCATGGGAGGGAAGGGAAGGAAGTGGCATGGGAGGGAAGGGAAGGAAGTGGCATGGGAGGGAAGGGAAGGAAGTGGCATGGGAGGGAAGGGAAGGAAGTGGCATGGGAGGGAAGGGAAGGAAGTGGCATGGGAGGGAAGGGAAGGAAGTGGCATGGGAGGGAAGGGAAGGAAGTGGCATGGGAGGGAAGGGAAGGAAGTGGCATGGGAGGGAAGGGAAGGAAGTGGCATGGGAGGGAAGGGAAGGAAGTGGCATGGGAGGGAAGGGAAGGAAGTGGCATGGGAGGGAAGGGAAGGAAGTGGCATGGGAGGGAAGGGAAGGAAGTGGCATGGGAGGGAAGGGAAGGAAGTGGCATGGGAGGGAAGGGAAGGAAGTGGCATGGGAGGGAAGGGAAGGAAGTGGCATGGGAGGGAAGGGAAGGAAGTGGCATGGGAGGGGGAAGGAAAGGGAAGTGGCATGGGAGGGAAGGAAGTGGCATGGGAGGGAAGGGAAGGAAGTGGCATGGGAGGGAAGGGAAGGAAGTGGCATGGGAGGGAAGGGAAGGAAGTGGCATGGGAGGGAAGGGAAGGAAGTGGCATGGGAGGGGGGGGGGGAGGGAGGGAAGGATGGCATGGGGAGGGAAGGGAAGGAAGTGGCATGGGAGGGAAGGGAAGGAAGTGGCATGGGAGGGAAGGGAAGGAAGTGGCATGGGAGGGAAGGGAAGGAAGTGGCATGGGAGGGAAGGGAAGGAAGTGGCATGGGAGGGAAGGGAAGGAAGTGGCATGGGAGGGAAGGGAAGGAAGTGGCATGGGAGGGAAGGGAAGGAAGTGGCATGGGAGGGAAGGGAAGGAAGTGGCATGGGAGGGAAGGGAAGGAAGTGGCATGGGAGGGAAGGGAGGAAGTGGCATGTGGAAGGGAAGGGAAGGAAGTGGCATGGGAGGGAAGGGAAGGAAGTGGCATGGGAGGGAAGGGAAGGAAGTGGCATGGGAGGGAAGGGAAGGAAGTGGCATGGGAGGGAAGGGAAGGAAGTGGCATGGGAGGGAAGGGAAGGAAGTGGCATGGGAGGGAAGGGAAGGAAGTGGCATGGGAGGGAAGGGAAGGAAGTGGCATGGGAGGGAAGGGAAGGAAGTGGCATGGGAGGGAAGGGAAGGAAGTGGCATGGGAGGGAAGGGAAGGAAGTGGCATGGGAGGGAAGGGAAGGAAGTGGCATGGGAGGGAAGGGAAGGAAGTGGCATGGGAGGGAAGGGAAGGAAGTGGCATGGGAGGGAAGGGAAGGAAGTGGCATGGGAGGGAAGGGAAGGAAGTGGCATGGGAGGGAAGGGAAGGAAGTGGCATGGGAGGGAAGGGAAGGAAGTGGCATGGGAGGGAAGGGAAGGAAGTGGCATGGGAGGGAAGGGAAGGAAGTGGCATGGGAGGGAAGGAAGGAAGTGGCATGGGAGGGATGTGAGAAATTGTGAAGATGAACCATACATGATATTAGGAATAGAGGGGGTATACATAGTTGTGCTAGGAGGGATGGTTTGGTTGGGAGCCTAGCCAACATTATTGGCCCCCACCAATAAGTTGGGTTGAGGAATTATTGGGGGGACCAATAATGTTGACCAAAGGTGGTTCAACATTATTGGGGGGGCCAATAATTCCCAACCCAACCTTGGGGGCCAAGTGTTGAGAGTTCCTAACCCCCAGGGTAGGGTTAGCCCTAGCTCTACACCCAAACTACATTTGGGTGTCTACCTCTAGCCGTAGCTTATAGGATAGATGCAGGTTACAAGTGAGGATGGTATTCTAACACAACCCCTTAACCAGCAGAAATCCATAAGCTGTGGAAGAGGGAAGGGAACAACCCCTGAATCAGCCACCGCGGGGAGCAAGTCCCTGAAGGCGTAGAAGCGCAGAGTGGTTAGAACGGGGAGAGCCTTGGTGAAAAGATCTGCGAGGTTGTCGTAGGAGGCGATCTTGCGAACGGTGATGTGACCGTCCTGGACAAGGTCACGAACGAAGTAGTAGCGAAGCTCGATGTGTTTGGAGCGACCATGAAAGACGGCTTCTTTGGTGAGGTGGATGGTACTGTCGTTGTCACACCACAACGTGGGGCAGGGTTGTGGGGAACCAAGGTCGGTGAGCAGATAGCTGAGCCAGCGTGCCTCCTGAGCCGCCATCGTGACCGCGTACAATTCGGCTTCGCATGAGGAGAGGGCGACGGAGGAAGAGCGGGTGGAGCGCCAACTGATGAGGCCACTTCCAAGTGTAAAACCATATCCTTGGGAGCTGCGACGGTCGGGCTGTGCGTCAGCCCAAGATGAGTCGCTGAAGCCTTGAAGACTGGGTGGGTTCACACCACCAAGAGTGAGGACATGGTCCTTTGTGCCTTGTAGGTAGCGAAGAACCCGCATGGCCGCCTTCCAATGCTCTTCACCATGCCTGCCGGTGCCAACAAACTGCGCCAAAACACTGACGGGGTATGCAAGGTCGGGACGAGTGCAGACCATGGCGTACATCAGGGCCCCAACAAGTTCTGGATAGGGATGAGGGAGGTGACAGGGGCGGTGGGAGGGGACAGCCGATGCCCGAATGCAAGTGGTGTGGGGATGGGTTTGCAGGTTTTCATGCCAAACCTCTCAAGAATCTTCTCGATGTAGAAAGATTGAGAGAGGGTGATGGTCTTGGCTGCGAGGTCGCGAGTGATCTCCATGCGAGGTAGTTGCGGACCTCCCCCAGGTCTTTGCAGTTGAGACGTTGCTGCAGCTCATCCTTGACCTCCTGGAGTTCAGCAGCTGTGTCAGCGGCCAGCAGCATGTCGTCGACGTAGACGAGGATGAAGAAGGGTGATGGGGTGAGGCGCAGGAAGAGGCAGGAGGCGGCACGAGAGGCATTCCCGAGGTGCTTGTTTGAGCCCGTAGACAGGGCGTAGCAGCTTCCAAACATGGTAGGGTCGTGAGGGGCGTGGAAGCCTTTGGGTCGTTCCAGAAAGATGAGTTCGTGAAGGTCGCCTTGTAGAAAGGGGTGGTGACATCCATGGAGTGAAGTATCATTCCACGTCTCCCAACGAAGTCTAAAAACACTCGGATGACCGGTGGAGTGGCGGTGGGCGAATAGGTCTCGAAGAAGTCTGAGCCATAGGTCTGTGTGAAGCCCTTTGCCACATATCGAGCCTTGTACACAGGGGCGTCGCCAGGGAGTAGTTTGACTCGAAAAAGCCACCTGCCTTGGACCACGTTGTGTTAGAGGGACGAGGACGTCGATAAACGAGCGGTTGCTGATGAAGGCGTTGCATTCCTTGACCATGGCCTCGATCCAGAGAGGTGCATCAAGGCAGGCAAGTGCTTGCTCGTAGGTGGTGGGTTCGTAGATGGTGGGGGTGGTGGAGAAGAGAAGAACAGTCGTGCCACCATTGTGCGGACGACGGGGGCGACTGTGGGTGAGAGAAGGTGGAGGAACATTAGCTCATCATGAGAGTCTTCAGAGAGGTCCGGAGTGAGAGGAGGAGAGGAGAGGAGGCAGTGGAGTGGAAAGACAGCTGCGCTGGAGGGTCGGGCCGATGCGGGGACACAGCTGCACTGGTGCTCTGCTGCGCTGAGGGTCGGGGGGGAGACAGCTGCATTGTAGCTCGGCTTCGCTGAGTTGCCGTGAGGGGCAGAGATACGGGAGCGCGATTGCTGAGAGAACCTGAGGGGCTGGTGCGGGGGGGGAGGGGAGGTGCTATGGTGGCGGAGAAGGGGGGTGGATGTGAGAGACTGGATGGAGGAAGGGGTGGACCTTGGGGTACCGAGAATGGGGACCGTGGACCGGGTGTGAGGGTAGTGGCGGAGTATGAAAGGGGGAGTGGGAAGTATGGGCCGGGAGGAAGGAGGTGGAGTGAGTGGGGGGGCGTGGCGAGGGGGGAGGTGGGGAATGTTGTGTATGGGGGGGGGGGGGGGGGAGGGGTGGGAGGGGTGTGGAGGGCAGCGGGTGAAGGAGGGGGAGGGGGTGGGGAGGGATGGGGAGGGGGAGCGGGTGAGGGAGGGGTAGGGGGTGGGGAGGGATGGGGAGGGGGAGGGCAGCGGGTGGGGAGGGAGGGTGGACGGGGTCAAGGATGTCTCCTGATGAGGCGGGGGGAGAGTGGGAGAGGGTGGGGGTGTAGGTGGGACAATGGTGGGAGGGGGGAGAAGGGAAGGGGAGGGGAGAGGAGGTGGGGGGGGAATGGTGTCAGTCCAGAGGAGGGGACGGGTGGTTAGAGGGAGGGGGTTAGGGACATTGGGGGAGGTGTAGTACGGGTGGGCTTCATCGAATTCCACATCCCGACTACGAATGAGGCGACCTGAGGGGGATGGAGGAAGAGATAGTCCGGGGAGGAGGTGTTGTGACCAAGGAAATGCAGGGGAGAGTGCGGGAGGCTAGCTTCCCAGCTTTGCGTGAGCGGTCGGCAGGGTGTATGAGAACATACGCCTTGGAACCCCATACGCGCAGGGGGTGATGTCGGGCTTTTTGGATGTCCAGAGTGCAGTGGGAGTGGTGGTGGGCCGGGAGGGATGAGGGTATAAGTTAGTGAGGATGGCAGCGTGGAGGATGGCATAGCCCCAGAGAGAGGGCGGGCAGGAGGCATGGACCATGAGACACCGAGCAGTCTTGGTGACCTCGCGGACCCTACTTTAGGAGGAGAGCATGTTGTTAAGGAACTCACTCGCCACCACCATCAGAGTGGAAGCGGGAGACAGGGCGTTGAAATGGGTGCGTGCTTGCTCAGCCCAGGCAATGATAGCAGCTGGAGCCTCCGCTTTCGTGCGAAGGAGGGAGACGGAGGAGTAGCGGCTGTGGTCATCCACCAGGATGAGCAGGTATTTATGACCTTGCCTGGTGGGGGAAGGGTTGGGACCCCAGAGGTCCATGTGGACGAGATCAAGAGGCTGGGGGGAAAAGGAGGGATGACTCTTGTGGGGGGCCTGTTTCAGTTTGCTTTCAATGCACACTGAGCAGGGAGGGGAGGGTGACGGGGGGAGAGGGGGAAGGGTGAGGGGGAGTCCGTCGAGGAGTTGGGTGGAGACAGTTTGACGGAGGGTGGCAAGTTGGGATGACCCAACCTATGGTGAAGGAGGACTGCGGGGTGGGTGAGGTCACGACAGTGACAGGAGGAGGTGGAGGAGGGGGGGGGGGAGGGGGGGGGAAGAGAAGGGGAGGGGAGGGGGGGGAGGGGATGGGGGAGGGGATGGGGGAGGGGATGGGAAGGGGGGGGGGAGGTGAGGGGAGGGGAAGGGGTAATGTTGGGGCGATGAGGTGGTGAATGGAGGTGCGAGGTGTGCGGTACGTATACAGGTTTGTGCGAGGGCAGAGGGGAATGCGACAGAGGAAGCGGCCAGTGGTGGTGTGAAAGAGGTCGCAGTAGAGTGCATGACCGGGGAAGAGGGCGGTGACATTGAACCTGGTGAGGTCACATAGTGCTACCAGATTGTTACGTAGGGAGGGGATGTAGAGACCTGTGACGGTACCGGAGGGGAAGATGGGACAGGGGAGTGTGGAGGTGTGTTGACTAGAGATGGTGAAACTGGAGTCAGCTCCGTGGATAGTGGAGGGAGTGGGGAGGGGTACCAGTGTGCCTGCATCGCGCAGAACAGTGTGTGTCGCTCCACTGTCAATGATAAACTCAAGGCATGAGGAGGAGGAGGAAAAGGCGGAGTACTGGAAAAGAGACTCATTAATAGCATGGGCATACAGAGGATCAGCAGGAGCAGAGTTCACATGTCCTATGAAGCCAGCAGAGGGGAACGGAGTAAAGCCAGGAGGGTTGTTCGAGGAGAGGTCTGTTCAGCAGCAGTGGCAGCAGGTGCTGGGGGGCCAGGGCCATATCCAGCATAGGGAACACGGATAAGGCCAGCCAGCATAGGGTGGGGGATAGTGAGTGGGAGGACTGGAGGCGGAGGTGTGGGTGGAGGAGGAGTGGGAGTGATGGGAGTGGGGTGGACGAGGGGAGAAGCTGTTGAACTTGCTGAAGGATGTGAGATGGGAGATGCTGAGCGAGGACATTGTGAAGTTAGGAGTAGAGGGTTGATAGCGGGGGGAGGAGTGCGAATGTCATGGAGGGAGGGGCGTGGGAAGACAGTGTTCCACCGACGGTGGAAGTGCCAACGTTGCCACGTGCAAACCACTCATCAGTGAGGGCTTTGAAGCACGTGTCAGTGGTATGAGTGGTCTGAGAGCATGGCTGACCTTTGTTGGAGCCATAGCGGATGATTGTACTGACACGGGGGGAGGGTGCCCGAAGGTGAGAGGTTTTCCGCCACGTCCACCACGGCCACCACCGCGTCCACCACTGCGTCCTCCTCCTCGTCCTCCACCACGTCCACCACCACGGCTGCCTCCACCACCGCCAGTACCGCCTTGGCTGCCACTGCCGCCGTTGGTCTGGTTGCCGGCGGGGGTTGTTGTTGCGAGTCTGAACTGCATTGATAGTGGTGGAGTCACGTTGAAGGTCTGCTTCACTGTCAAGTAGCCATTCGATGGTGTCGGTCACAGGAGGAGGGTGGCGGTGTAGGTAGCGGGAGGTAAAGGTGATGCGGTATGTGTATATGTGGGGGGGAGGCAGTCGAGAATGCGTGCAGTGAGGAGAGATTCAGAGATGACAATGCCCCGATCGTTGAGGCGTTGTGCAGTATCAATGAGCCGGCGTGGTGTAGGCAGCAGCTGTGGGAGAGGAGTCAAGAGTGGTGTCTTGGAATTTACGAAAGAGAGCAAGGGGGGAGCGAAGATCCTGGCGATCATACTGAGTGGAGAGAGTTTTCCAGAGGCGAGGAGGAAGTGGGTCGGAGGTCACGTTTGAGGTGTGGGGGGGGGAATGCAGGAGAAGATGATGGCGAGAGCGCGTCGATCCGCGACACGCCATGCTGCGACATCCTTGTGAAGTTTGCGCAGCTCTGCCGCATGATCCCTCTCATCCTTTTCGTACTGGAGAATGCGCTCAGTGGCGATAGCATGGGCTTCCTCAGCAACACGGTATGCCTCACGCTGGATAGTGTAGTTGTCAGTAGCTATTGTAGTTGTTCAAGTTGGCCGCCCAGGGTCTGGGTTATCATCATGAACTGGAGCATGGGGGGCGGGGCTAATAGGTTCTGGACGTGGAGGGGTTGGGGGGGGCGGATCAAGAGGAGGAGGGAGAACGGGTGGAAGGCCGTTAGGGTGTTCAAGGACTATGTCAAGAAGACAGTAGTCCTGGATGATGACAGAGCCAAGGTGGGTGTGGAGTGTATCCTCGAACGACGCCCAGTTCACAGCGGTGGTATCATGAAGGAGCTCGAGCTTGTCGATAGCTCCGAGCTCAATGGGAGTAGAGTCGTCTGCCATGAGGGGGAGGAGGGGGGGGAGGGGTGGTGACACACTGGTTGGAGGCGGGTGCGGTCAATCTGGGTGACGACACCACCTGAAGGGTGGTGCGGTCGAGAGGCTGCGCCTAGTCGCGTCGCTCACTGTTGCGCCTGATCCTGTCGCCCACAGCTGTGTCAGGTCGCGTTGCCCGCGGCTGCGCCTGGTCGCCTCCGCTGATCGTCTCCCTGATCGCCTCCGCTGGTCGCGTCCGCGGCGGTCGCCTTCCTCTGGTCGCGTCCGCGGCGGTCGCCTCGCTGGTCGCCTCCGTTGGTCGCGTTCGCGGCGGTTCGCCTCCGCTGGTCGCGTCCACGGCGGTTGCCTCCGCTGGTCGCGTCCGCGGCGGTCGCCCCCGCTGGTCGCGTCCGCGGCGGTCGCCTCCGCTGGTCGAGTCCGCGGCGGTCGCCCGCGGTCGTCGCGGCTGCGGCGGGCGCCCACGGTCGTGGCGTCCGCGACGGTCGCCCGCGGTCGGCGTCCGTGGCGGTCGCCCGCGATCGACGCGTCCGCGGCGGTCGCCCGCTGTCGTCGCGTCCGCGGCGGTCGCCCGCAGTCGTTGCGTCCGCGGCTGTCGCCCGCGGTCGTCGCGTCCGCGGCGGTCGCCCGCGTTCGTCGCGTCCGCGGCGGTCGCCCGCGTTCGTCGCGTCCGTGGCGGTCGCCCGCGTTCGTCGCGTCCGCGGCGGTCGCCCGCGTTCGTCGCGTTCGCGGCGGTAGCCCGTGTGAAACCCTAATCCGCGAAGGGCGTTCGTTCGTCGCGTTTGTGGCGGTCGCCCCGGATCAGGGTTGGTGGCGGTCGAAATCGCGTCGTGGTGGCGAAAAGGGGGGAGGGGGGCCTTAAGCGGCAAATCTGACCGTGAGAACGGAGATTGGGCAGAGATTTCGCGTAGGGGGGAGGGGGGCGTGAGGGCGTAGGTGCACTAGGCACTAAGTACGACTTAGTTGTCGTTGTGAGGGGAATGGGCGTGATTTAGCACGCGGAGGTATGGTTCCTAGGATCGAAGAAGGTGTTAGCCGTGTGGCTCTGATTACCATGTGAGAAATTGTGAAGATGAACCATCCATGATATTAGGAATAGAGGGGGGGGTATACATAGTTGTGCTAGGAGGGATGGTTTGGTTGGGAGCCTAGCCAACATTATTGGCCCCCACCAATAAGTTGGGTTGAGGAATTATTGGGGGGACCAATAATGTTGACCAAAGGTGGTTCAACATTATTGGGGGGGCCAATAATTCCCAACCCAACCTTGGGGGCCAAGTGTTGAGTTCCAACCCCCAATTAGGGTTAGCCCTAGCTCTACACCCAAACTACATTTGGGTGTCTACCTCTAGCCGTAGCTTATAGGATAGATGCAGGTTACAAGTGAGGATGGTATTCTAACACCTCTCGCTGACTCTGCTGATCTTCTTGATGGTCTCCCCTTCTCGGCTCTGGAGTTCCGCGTTGAGATCCCCCAACTCCAGCTGCCCCGGGTCCCATCTCTGGCGCTGGCGAATTACAGTTCGAGCTCAGTGGCGGCTCTCCCGTCTGTCGCCTTCTTTTCCTTGATCTGCGCTGCTAGTACCACTCGCGGTCGTAGTTCCTTCTCCTGCTCGAAACCCAGGTGTCTTAATCGGCAAATCTTGTCCCTCCATCCCTCCGCGCAGGAAATCTATGCCCTGAACGCAGTTGATGAGTATGCAGCTCTTGATCAAGGCCGCTCATCCCCTACGGTGCATCACCGCAGGCCCTCCAGGCGTTGTGCCTTTTTGCTGAGATTTCAGCACTACACTATTTTGCTTGTATGAACAAGTCTTAACTCCCTCGCAAGGGCTCAGTCAGATTGCTCCTGCTTCTCCCTACTGCTAGCTTCCTTTGGCTTAGGAAAACAAGATTACAGTAAGAAGAGAAACATACAAGCAAAAAAGCGAGAAACCAGAGTGCTACCCCGGCTACATTCCCTCCTCCTCCTGCCTAGGAGCCTTCCTTCCCTCGCTAGCTCTAGTGCCAAACGCGAGTCAGCTGAGCTGCTCGCGATGGTTCCAAGGTGCTAGCTGGGCCCCACTGGCCCACTAGGCATGCACTGCCTTCCAGCTGGAATCGAGTTCCTAGCCTGGAATCGCATTCCCAGCTGGAATTGCATTCCCAACCTGAAATCGAATTCCCAGCTGTAATCGAATTCCCCAGCTGGAATCGAATTCCTCCTTCCACACCAACCTCCCTGTAGTCCCCTGCACTCGGCTCTATAGCGTATATACAGTACATCCCACGCACACAAAAAGAAATTAGAGTAGATACCAACCAGAAATGCACCATTACCTGGCTGCTGTGTAATTCACACCTTAGCCACCGGCTAGGTGTTAATAACGCGACATCGAGCACAGGCTTGCTGACACCGCACTCAAATGCCTCCACTCCTTCACCGCACTCAAATGCTGCCACTCCTTCACCGCACTCAAATGCCTCCACTCCTTTCCATAAGCTAGCTGCTATGGAGTCGCGCCAACTCTTCTTGACTTTCATTGACTCCCCTTGACTCTCCTTGACTCCCGTTGACCGCCATTGACCCAGGGAGGTGGTAACCACGGCGAGGAGGGGCTTGAAGCTGAATCCCGACGACATAGAGCTCAACTACCTGGAAGCTTCTGCACACCATGCGCTGGGTGATTTTGAGGCAGCGGTGAGTGAAGATTTTCACTCCACCCACAAGCCTCAATCTGCCTGCGCTCTCAGGCTCTCACTCCACTTGCCTCGTCAGTTGCTTCCTCGACAGTTGTTTCCTTGTCAGTTGTTTTACAGTCTCTGCTCACAAGCCCACTTCTTGTGCTAGGCAAGCCATTCACTCACTCACTCCGCCATTCCTCCACCCTGCAACCCCCTTCCTCTGCCCCCTATCTATCCATCCACAGCTGCATCAGTATACTCACATCCTCGGGCTCTCGCCCACAGACAGCCACACCTCCACTCTCCAGGGCATGGCATTTTACCAGGTGCTGAGCGGTACCGTGCTGCGTTGAGTGGTGCTGTGCGGTTCGGTGCTGTGAGGTGTGGTGCTGAGCAGTTCCATGCCGTGTTGCATGGTGCTATACGCTTCCGTGCTGTGAGGTGTGGTGCTGAGCAGTTCCGTGCCGTGTTGAATGGTGCTGTGCGCTTCCGTGCTGTGAGTGTGTGGTGCTGAGCAGTTCCGTGACGTGTTGCATGGGGCTGTGCGCGGTTCCGTGCTGTGAGGTGTGGTGTGTGGTCAGCCAACTGGCATGAAGCTGGACCTGGTCATTGCACTCGTGCTCAAGCACCTATGTACTTGCTCTCCCTCTTCCCCGTCCCTGATCTTCCCTTGCTGCCACTGTTTGCTACCACAGCCCATTCTAGGAACATTCCATTCCAAGCTACCCAATAGCCAAGCTGGACCCTCCCATACGGTTCTCCTCGTCTCCCCCCCCCCCTCCCACCGCATCCACCATCAGAGGGAGATAGCAGCCTACACAGTATCCAAGCTGGACCTTCCATTTGCTCAGTTCCGACTGGACTACGAGCTTAACAATGAACTCAAGGTGTGCCTCCCTGCTTCTCATACATGTTTGATTCAACTTACAAGTCACCTTGTTACAGCGCAATGCATAGCCGGTTTTCCTCTTGACCAGCTCAGCAACAAACGAGCTCAACAACGAACTCAAGGTGTGCCCTGCGTCTGGAGCTGCAGATTCTCCTGCGTCTGGAGCTGCAGATTCTCCTGCGCCTGGAGCTGCAGATTCTCCTGCGCCTGGAGCTGCAGATTCTCCTGCGCCTGGAGCTGCAGATTCTCCTGCGTCTGGAGCTGCAGATTCTCCTGCGCCTGGAGCTGCAGATTCTCCTGCGCCTGGAGCTGCAGATTCTCCTGCGCCTGGAGCTGCAGATTCTCCTGCGCCTGGAGCTGCAGATTCTCCTGCGCCTGGAGCTGCAGATTCTCCTGCGCCTGGAGCTGCAGATTCTCCTGCGCCTGGAGCTGCAGATTCTCCTGCGCCTGGAGCTGCAGATTCTCCTGCGCCTGGAGCTGCAGATTCTCCTGCGTCTGGAGCTGCAGATTCTCCTGCGCCTGGAGCTGCAGATTCTCCTGCGCCTGGAGCTGCAGATTCTCCTGCGCCTGGAGCTGCAGATTCTCCTGCGTCTGGAGCTGCAGATTCTCCTGCTCTGTAGCTGCAGATTCTCCTGCGCCTGGAGCTGCAGATTCTCCTGCGCCTGGAGCTGCAGATTCTCCTGCGCCTGGAGCTGCAGATTCTCCTGCGTCTGGAGCTGCAGATTCTCCTGCGCCTGGAGCTGCAGATTCTCCTGCGCCTGGAGCTGCAGATTCTCCTGCGCCTGGAGCTGCAGATTCTCCTGCGCCTGGAGCTGCAGATTCTCCTGCGCCTGGAGCTGCAGATTCTCCTGCGCCTGGAGCTGCAGATTCTCCTGCGCCTGGAGCTGCAGATTCTCCTGCGCCTGGAGCTGCAGATTCTCCTGCGCCTGGAGCTGCAGATTCTCCTGCGCCTGGAGCTGCAGATTCTCCTGCGCCTGGAGCTGCAGATTCTCCTGCGCCTGGAGCTGCAGATTCTCCTGCGCCTGGAGCTGCAGATTCTCCTGCGTCTGGAGCTGCAGATTCTCCTGCGTCTGGAGCTGCAGATTCTCCTGCGCCTGGAGCTGCAGATTCTCCTGCGCCTGGAGCTGCAGATTCTCCTGCGCCTGGAGCTGCAGATTCTCCTGCGCCTGGAGCTGCAGATTCTCCTGCGCCTGGAGCTGCAGATTCTCCTGCGCCTGGAGCTGCAGATTCTCCTGCGCCTGGAGCTGCAGATTCTCCTGCGCCTGGAGCTGCAGATTCTCCTGCGCCTGGAGCTGCAGATTCTCCTGCGTCTGGAGCTGCAGATTCTCCTGCGCCTGGAGCTGCAGATTCTCCTGCGCCTGGAGCTGCAGATTCTCCTGCGCCTGGAGCTGCAGATTCTCCTGCGCCTGGAGCTGCAGATTCTCCTGCGCCTGGAGCTGCAGATTCTCCTGCGCCTGGAGCTGCAGATTCTCCTGCGCCTGGAGCTGCAGATTCTCCTGCGCCTGGAGCTGCAGATTCTCCTGCGTCTGGAGCTGCAGATTCTCCTGCGTCTGGAGCTGCAGATTCTCCTGCGCCTGGAGCTGCAGATTCTCCTGCGCCTGGAGCTGCAGATTCTCCTGCGCCTGGAGCTGCAGATTCTCCTGCGCCTGGAGCTGCAGATTCTCCTGCGCCTGGAGCTGCAGATTCTCCTGCGCCTGGAGCTGCAGATTCTCCTGCGCCTGGAGCTGCAGATTCTCCTGCGCCTGGAGCTGCAGATTCTCCTGCGCCTGGAGCTGCAGATTCTCCTGCGCCTGGAGCTGCAGATTCTCCTGCGTCTGGAGCTGCAGATTCTCCTGCGCCTGGAGCTGCAGATTCTCCTGCGCCTGGAGCTGCAGATTCTCCTGCGCCTGGAGCTGCAGATTCTCCTGCGCCTGGAGCTGCAGATTCTCCTGCGCCTGGAGCTGCAGATTCTCCTGCGCCTGGAGCTGCAGATTCTCCTGCGCCTGGAGCTGCAGATTCTCCTGCGCCTGGAGCTGCAGATTCTCCTGCGCCTGGAGCTGCAGATTCTCCTGCGCCTGGAGCTGCAGATTCTCCTGCGCCTGGAGCTGCAGATTCTCCTGCGCCTGGAGCTGCAGATTCTCCTGCGCCTGGAGCTGCAGATTCTCCTGCGCCTGGAGCTGCAGATTCTCCTGCGCCTGGAGCTGCAGATTCTCCTGCGCCTGGAGCTGCAGATTCTCCTGCGCCTGGAGCTGCAGATTCTCCTGCGTCTGGAGCTGCAGATTCTCCTGCGTCTGGAGCTGCAGATTCTCCTGCGCCTGGAGCTGCAGATTCTCCTGCGCCTGGAGCTGCAGATTCTCCTGCGCCTGGAGCTGCAGATTCTCCTGCGCCTGGAGCTGCAGATTCTCCTGCGCCTGGAGCTGCAGATTCTCCTGCGTCTGGAGCTGCAGATTCTCCTGCGTCTGGAGCTGCAGATTCTCCTGCGCCTGGAGCTGCAGATTCTCCTGCGTCTGGAGCTGCAGATTCTCCTGCGCCTGGAGCTGCAGATTCTCCTGCGCCTGGAGCTGCAGATTCTCCTGCGCCTGGAGCTGCAGATTCTCCTGCGCCTGGAGCTGCAGATTCTCCTGCGCCTGGAGCTGCAGATTCTCCTGCGCCTGGAGCTGCAGATTCTCCTGCGCCTGGAGCTGCAGATTCTCCTGCGCCTGGAGCTGCAGATTCTCCTGCGCCTGGAGCTGCAGATTCTCCTGCGCCTGGAGCTGCAGATTCTCCTGCGCCTGGAGCTGCAGATTCTCCTGCGCCTGGAGCTGCAGATTCTCCTGCGCCTGGAGCTGCAGATTCTCCTGCGCCTGGAGCTGCAGATTCTCCTGCGCCTGGAGCTGCAGATTCTCCTGCGCCTGGAGCTGCAGATTCTCCTGCGCCTGGAGCTGCAGATTCTCCTGCGTCTGGAGCTGCAGATTCTCCTGCGTCTGGAGCTGCAGATTCTCCTGCGCCTGGAGCTGCAGATTCTCCTGCGCCTGGAGCTGCAGATTCTCCTGCGTCTGGAGCTGCAGATTCTCCTGCGTCTGGAGCTGCAGATTCTCCTGCGCCTGGAGCTGCAGATTCTCCTGCGCCTGGAGCTGCAGATTCTCCTGCGCCTGGAGCTGCAGATTCTCCTGCGCCTGGAGCTGCAGATTCTCCTGCGCCTGGAGCTGCAGATTCTCCTGCGCCTGGAGCTGCAGATTCTCCTGCGCCTGGAGCTGCAGATTCTCCTGCGCCTGGAGCTGCAGATTCTCCTGCGCCTGGAGCTGCAGATTCTCCTGCGCCTGGAGCTGCAGATTCTCCTGCGCCTGGAGCTGCAGATTCTCCTGCGCCTGGAGCTGCAGATTCTCCTGCGCCTGGAGCTGCAGATTCTCCTGCGCCTGGAGCTGCAGATTCTCCTGCGCCTGGAGCTGCAGATTCTCCTGCGCCTGGAGCTGCAGATTCTCCTGCGCCTGGAGCTGCAGATTCTCCTGCGCCTGGAGCTGCAGATTCTCCTGCGCCTGGAGCTGCAGATTCTCCTGCGCCTGGAGCTGCAGATTCTCCTGCGCCTGGAGCTGCAGATTCTCCTGCGCCTGGAGCTGCAGATTCTCCTGCGCCTGGAGCTGCAGATTCTCCTGCGCCTGGAGCTGCAGATTCTCCTGCGCCTGGAGCTGCAGATTCTCCTGCGCCTGGAGCTGCAGATTCTCCTGCGTCTGGAGCTGCAGATTCTCCTGCGTCTGGAGCTGCAGATTCTCCTGCGCCTGGAGCTGCAGATTCTCCTGCGCCTGGAGCTGCAGATTCTCCTGCGCCTGGAGCTGCAGATTCTCCTGCGCCTGGAGCTGCAGATTCTCCTGCGCCTGGAGCTGCAGATTCTCCTGCGCCTGGAGCTGCAGATTCTCCTGCGCCTGGAGCTGCAGATTCTCCTGCGCCTGGAGCTGCAGATTCTCCTGCGTCTGGAGCTGCAGATTCTCCTGCGCCTGGAGCTGCAGATTCTCCTGCGCCTGGAGCTGCAGATTCTCCTGCGCCTGGAGCTGCAGATTCTCCTGCGCCTGGAGCTGCAGATTCTCCTGCGCCTGGAGCTGCAGATTCTCCTGCGCCTGGAGCTGCAGATTCTCCTGCGCCTGGAGCTGCAGATTCTCCTGCGTCTGGAGCTGCAGATTCTCCTGCGTCTGGAGCTGCAGATTCTCCTGCGCCTGGAGCTGCAGATTCTCCTGCGCCTGGAGCTGCAGATTCTCCTGCGTCTGGAGCTGCAGATTCTCCTGCGCCTGGAGCTGCAGATTCTCCTGCGCCTGGAGCTGCAGATTCTCCTGCGTCTGGAGCTGCAGATTCTCCTGCGTCTGGAGCTGCAGATTCTCCTGCGCCTGGAGCTGCAGATTCTCCTGCGTCTGGAGCTGCAGATTCTCCTGCGTCTGGAGCTGCAGATTCTCCTGCGTCTGGAGCTGCAGATTCTCCTGCGCCTGGAGCTGCAGATTCTCCTGCGCCTGGAGCTGCAGATTCTCCTGCGCCTGGAGCTGCAGATTCTCCTGCGCCTGGAGCTGCAGATTCTCCTGCGCCTGGAGCTGCAGATTCTCCTGCGCCTGGAGCTGCAGATTCTCCTGCGCCTGGAGCTGCAGATTCTCCTGCGCCTGGAGCTGCAGATTCTCCTGCGCCTGGAGCTGCAGATTCTCCTGCGCCTGGAGCTGCAGATTCTCCTGCGCCTGGAGCTGCAGATTCTCCTGCGCCTGGAGCTGCAGATTCTCCTGCGCCTGGAGCTGCAGATTCTCCTGCGCCTGGAGCTGCAGATTCTCCTGCGCCTGGAGCTGCAGATTCTCCTGCGCCTGGAGCTGCAGATTCTCCTGCGTCTGGAGCTGCAGATTCTCCTGCGCCTGGAGCTGCAGATTCTCCTGCGCCTGGAGCTGCAGATTCTCCTGCGCCTGGAGCTGCAGATTCTCCTGCGCCTGGAGCTGCAGATTCTCCTGCGCCTGGAGCTGCAGATTCTCCTGCGCCTGGAGCTGCAGATTCTCCTGCGCCTGGAGCTGCAGATTC